TATTTTCGCGCATAATGTATGCGCACGCGATTGACGATTTTTTTTAAAGAAGTTAATGGAAGAATCGGTTTGATTTATCTTTCCTGAAGTGGAAAGGAATAAGAACGAATCCAACTGTTTTGGTTGTTTTAGAAATCTACTTAATCAGCAAAAAATCAAGCGAAATATTTTACGCGGGAAAAAATAGCTTTAAAATGACGTGATACAATTCAAATTTTAAAAATCACTGCGCAAAATGTTTTGATCGTGCATTCTTGCGTCTTATTGCATCATTTATCAACGTTCAGATAAATTAGTGAGGGCAGTAGTAAAAGTTTGGTGTTGTCCATCTTTGCAAGCTTTCTTCTAAGTGTTTACATACTACAGAAAAGGAAGATTATAATTAAGTTGGCAAAGGATTGTATGTTCGCAACTGAACAATTCTGGTACCGTAAACCAACTTGAAAACGCTTCAAAACGCATTTTCGAAGACCAGAATAGCGGTCGGGGGAGCATGGCATTCGTTTTTCATGCAGTAAACGTAAACTAATGTCATGTTCGTTAAGCTTTAAATCGCCACAGTATAAAACAATTGAGCACCATTTCTTCAAGTGACGTAGTACAGAATTTTTTCGTTTATTAAAAGCTTTATCATTCGTTTTCGAAGAACGTAGTTTTTGCGATATAGCAGTTTAGAGGCTTGACGTTCGTTTCTCACGCAGGTAACTGAAATTTCTGCTCTGTTTGTTGGGCTTTAAATCGCCAAAATTTAAAACTATTGAAAACCATTTCTTCAAGTAATGCACCGAAGAGTTGTTCATTAACTAAACGCTACATCTTTTAGTCAGAACGTACGTGTTTGCTTTTAAATATATTTAAAGCTGATTAAAGTGCTATATGCGAACTATCATGCTAGGGCTTATTAGCAGACGGCCGAACATAGCCATTTAATGTGGACCGCTACATACCTAAGCAAGAACAACGGTCAGAGAAAACAGAAATTCAAGTAGACGAAAAGAGAGCATAACTAAAATCCGCTAGAAATTGACTCGTGACACAGCCTTGACCCGCTCGTGGTTCGATTTAAAATTCAGTCACCTTAACTCGTGATCGCTTGTTCGGATTTGAAGGCACTTTAAACAAGAATTTCTACTGAGTATGAAGCTTCCAGTAGTCTTTTTTATTGCTTGAGTTTTGGATAGTGCGTGAACATCGATACTGTCGCAAAAAAAGGAAAATCATTTGAGTAGATTGACAGAAGTAATGAAGCTTTGGATGTGATTTCAATGCAAAATATAATTTGTCTTTCATAGTCAAGTTTGCAATTGTTAATTCACGAAACTGACATTTTGGTTGCGATTCTTTGACATTAGTCAAACTGCTTTTTTTAACTTACTGCGAAAATCTCGTGTTCCGTGAACGCCTTTCCGGTAGTTGGCAGAGATCAGAAATTTTCAGATTTACCACCAAAACTGTAATGAAAATTCCTCTTATGTTTCTCTAAGTCGAAATATACATACCTTCCCTGTGTGTGGGCTTTAGAAGAAGTATTGATAAACCAAGTGGTTAACCAGTAACTTCTCCCTGTAATATCCGTACATTATTCAGTAAAACAGGTCATGGGAATATTCAAATTTATCAGGTAGAAGTTATCTTGATCTTACACCAAATTCTCGTGACCAATTCGCAAGAAAATGTGTAGCCGCTAGAGAGGAGAATTGAAAAATGATCTTGGGAATTAAGGGGTTAAGCGTCAAAGACACGCTATCAGTCAAAAGTAACTAATTAATTGCTTTCTTTTAAATATTTAAACTCAGCAAAGGCGAACAACTGCAAAAGTCTTAAAAAAAAAAAGGGCAGTGCAGAGAGGAAAACAAAATCTATCATACGGGGAATCGTAAGGGGTGTGCCAAACAAAATAAGCTTGTCCGGCTTAAAGACAGTTGTCTGAATGGCACAACTTTTTTGTCTCTCTGTCTTATTTATCAAGCTCGTGATAACTTCCCAATCCCAATCTATTCATTCTCCGGCGTCATATGACAGCCATATGACTTCTGTTTCATAGTTTGTGTAAACAATGAATCAATTAGTAAATTGTGTTTGAGCTATACCATTAAACGACATGCCATCTCCTTTCTATTCGTGTGACCAGAAAAAAAAAGATACTATGACATATTATTCTCAAGCAAAGAGACTGATGCCCTTACAGACCCGATGGCAAGTGCAGATTTCCTCAGTTGAGTCATGATAAAGTTAACGACCTTTGACCATTCGATCCTTGGGCGTAGCTCTATTTGATATTGCGTGATAAAGCTTTGACCTACGTACTTTGAACTTTTTCAACCATCTGAAGTGTCTAGTTACGGCTGTAAACTGTCTTATGTTATCCATGAGTTTTATCTCTAGGGAGCTGTACATTCATACCGTTCTACGTTTTCAGTCTCGCACGTTCAACAGCTCCGTGTTTACAGCCCAGCACAAGTCATATACCCTCTAACAAAACATATGCATTAAGGATATCTTTTGCCGGTCGGGAAGCTTTTTGAATTTTACACTCAAGCAATTTTCAAAGGGGAGTCAAGGGTTGTCTGGGATTGCATCGGTTTCGCTTTTCTCTTTCTGTGATTGGTCCTGTAAATTTTGCGCCACCATCGCAGCCAATCAGATGAGAAAGCAAAAGCAGCTGCGTCTTGGTCACTCGCGTTTTCCCGTTCTTCGGGCAACTTGCTTGTTTAGGCTACTTGTATTACTTTCCTTCGCTCTGATTGGCAGCTGTAAGTACGGCACCGTAAGGGGCTACACAAAAACACCAGTTTGCACGAGGAAAAATATAGTCCTCATGCCATGAATACTCATGATTTTTGGCGCGTTAACTTTCGAAATAAATTGTTATATTCTGGCGATAAGATGAACAATTGGCTCTTGATTCTAACAATAGCAGGAAAATAGATTCATCTTGTCAGAGAGTGGCAATTTTAAGAATCACCACTCAAACTCAAGTACAATTTTTCATCGTTTCATCACAGCTATTTTTGGTTTACTAACTTTGTCTCGTCTAATGATCTCTCATTCTCTGATAAGGGAATACAAAATTTTGTATAACGTCAAAAGTGCTTTTCAGAGACGAACCGTTCAATTTCTTATGACATTACTGATGCAGTTGATGCCCCGTCGGAATTCTCTATTTTCAAAGATGATTACGTGAATAATTCTCTCCCGTGTCCTAGGTATTGTCAAAGCCAAGAAATTCATGTGAATTTCTCGAGAAATTTCTCTATAATAAATAAATGTTCCTTTGAGACTTCATGCAAAAACGTGCTCCGAGTCCAAACCCCATGAAACTACTCTTTCAGGGGTTCGATAAGCTATGGGCGTGTGCGACCCATTCACAAAGTTGACAGCTCAGTTTACTTTAAAAATGACGCTATAAAATGTACAACAATCGTTTCGTAAGAGTCCAATCCGCCCCTATTTCAGACCACACCCTGTGTCTAAAATGGTTTTTCCTTCTAAACCCTTTGAGGGAATTTAGCCCCCTCTTTTCAACCCTCGACCCCCATAACATGATGGGTTTCTCTACCTTCATGCCAGTCCTCCGTGAGCAACTGACCTTTATACTGTTGGAGGGTAATGTTTAAGAAGTGAACATCGCCTTTTGGAGATGAATGTAAACAAAAATAGACATATTTCTTTCTTGCTTAAAAAAAACTTTTTAAAACCTGTTATGATTGTGCAAATTTGGGAGTAAAATTAAAACTTAAAAACATGTCATTGCATGAACGTTTGTAATACCCTTGACCGACTTAAGAAAAAAATTCGAGATAGACAATATTTTAGATGATATCAATTTTTTTGTCACGCGTCTTTAATCAGAATAAATTCTCCGCCATTATTTTAGATTATGTCTCGTAAATTAAAAATTTTCACCTTTGCAAAGCGTTTTTCCTGGTATGAGAAACAAGGGAAAGGAACGTTACGAAGGATGCTTCATCAATTTTTCTTTCCTTGTGGTAAATTGCCTTAGTCATTTAAATTGCAAATCTTTACATAAAGAAACTGATTCAGTCTACAACCTCGACACTAAAGGAAATTGAAAAGTATCATTTCGCTTGGTTTTTATCACCATAATAATAAAGAATTTTTCTCTGCATTAAAATAGGTAATCTGTTCGTATCCTGCAACACCCCTTAGTTCTCAAAGAAATCGACGACAGGTGCCTTTCTAGTGATTTTTATAAGATCACAAACTAGCTCATCGATAGAAATAGCACATCATCCAAGTGATCTTGGGAAATGTACAATTTTGCCAGAAATCTTGGCACGTGAGCAACGAAAGCCAAAATGGCCGATTGCTTTTGTTTGGGGGATTTTATCAGCCTCTATAGTATTCAAACTTTGCAACATGGAATCTGCAGAATGATTCACCGACGTTCGATTGAGTCGGTAAATTTTGTAATTTTACCTGGGGAGACACTGAAAGTTCCAACTACTTTAATATAAACGTGATCTCAATTCATGTGGCATAAAGGCTACACAAAATCTTGTTTCCATCTCGTGATTGTGTTTGGCAGCGAATCATAACGTAAATAGCAATTCGTTTTTTTTGAAACTTCGGCCAGTCAGCTGCTTCAATCAGGAGCTCTACTTATAAAACTAGAGCTGTCATTGAAGCAAACACTTCTTCATTTGACCAAGGACACCTTGAATCTGTCTGAGAGGAAGAAGCATTTTATCTGCACCTTGCTATAACTCTCAAATTGTAAGTTGTTCATTGTCCCTTTTCGTGTACATATTCTCTTTTCGGTATCTGTTTTAATTTTCTCTCAGTCATTTATTCATTTGAAACTAGTTTTGAAATCAATTTTAATGGAAAGCCGAACATATAATTACTATTTTTCGGTCTGAAAATGCTCTTAAGCTGAAAGTCAACTCTTGCTAAAGTGTAAGAATATGTTAATTGCTGGTACATGAATATTGCACTACTAAGTGAGGATTTTAACACATCGAAACTCATTATTTTAGTTCCACCATGTTGGATTCAGTTGCAAATTTGGACTATGACATTTCTGCAACCAGTCAACAAAGTTTTATAAGGTATGTTCTCAACCAGATTTAGAGTTTTAGCGTTTATCAAGGCTAAACATATGCATTATTATATACAAAAACGAGAAAAATAAGCCACGATGTTCGAAAGTTGTTGTTCCAAAGATGGAACAGTGGAAATAAAAAAAAACCAAACTTTTTGTCCTTCGACCATGGATATTAACAATAATATACACATAATTCTGAAGAGTATTTTTAGAATTCGCGTTTACAGCGGTAAAGTAAAGGTTCGTTTAAACCCTGTGCCAGCTTTGTTTTGATGTCGAGGGTGCGAATCGACAGGTGGGGCTTGAGGTGCCCAAAAACCCTCAAGTTTTTTCTGAAAACAAAGACCTTATGGTATTTGCAGCAATGCGCCAGTTCAACCGTTTCCTATGAGAAAGTTCCGTAAAAAAACCATTAGCATTTAGGTTTAGAATTTTTCGATCATCTTCTGTTTGTATCACAGTGCCATTGCTGACATGTTTCTGCCAATTTATTACTTAATTCCAGGAGGACTAATTTAACCAACTCCCTTAACGGCTAAGAAAAGATGTTTTGAAATTTTTTCTTTCCTTAGGTGAAACAGAGAGGTTTCGTTTCAATTTTCAACTTTTTTAGCACCAAAACAAGTTTGAGTACTTCCATTATAACAGACTAATTCTTTTTCTAAAACATTTTAAAAAACGATTGAAAGACAACAAGCGCAAAACTGAAATTAGAATGTATCATGTCTTTATTAATGAGTTAGGAGAAGACTTTTTTTCCCAGTAAACGTACTGTCGATGTACAAACTACTCGTCAGATGCACTTGAAACACTGAGCGTGACAGTGTTACGTGCCAGTCCTTAGTTTTGTATTTCCTTTGAAAATTATATCATAGGAAAATATCACTTTGATCCCACATTACGTCCAACAATCTCAACAACAGTGAAACAATTTGACTCTAAAATAAGACTCTAGAAAATTCGAACAGACGAGAGAATTTGGTTTAGCGGATTAGCGTAGTGCCAGAATTTATACAAATTGCTTCGTCTCCTTACCAGCTATGCACGTTCCAGGTTTGAATCCTAGAAAAAAATAAAGATGGAGAAATTAGAACTACTTCAGGCCTGTGATAATTGCTGTGATTGGAGTAACAAAGTTCAATTTTAACAAAAATTCAGCTTCTTTTCCCTCTTCAATCGGTTGAAAAAAATCTTTATAAGTCCTTACTTGTCTATTGCGCTCCTCTGTTTAGTCTTTTTTTTTTTTTTTCACTTTTTTTTTGTAAGGGTACAAAGCTCTGGATTAAAAAAAATGTGGTTTTGGTCAATTATTCTTTTAACCTATTTGAAAGCTTTCATAAATATAGAGAATATATAATATAAATGTATAAAAAAAACGAAGATTGCTAGATGGAAACGATAGAAGTATCCATTAAAACTGGACTAAGAAAACAAAAGTCGAAGACAACGGAAAATAAGAGGGCCAAAGCACAGGAGAGTAATGAATTAGGCTAATCGTTTTTTCAGGACCAGACATTTTTTCCAATTAAAATTTGTCTACAGGAAATTCAGAATGATCCAATTTTATACCCTAAGGGTTGACAACAGATAAATTAGTCACGCGAAAAAAATGACCCAATACCAAAGCTGCCCATAGGAGACCGTTGCATTGTTATTACATTGAGCGGACTGAAACCAGTAATCGCAGCAATCGGCCTGTAGCAGCTGCAAAGGACAGTTTTTATTTTTTTTCAATTTTTTTGGGTAACCAGAAAGAGGGTTTGGAAAGAAATTACACTCACTTAGGATAAAAAGCAATAATAAAATTGTGACAATCACAAGATTTTGCGCAAGCGATTTTATCACGTGCAATAAACTGATCTTCACCTTCTTTTCTTTGAGCCCCAAGATGAACATAAGACCTCGAAATTCATTCGCTAAAAGTTCTTCAGAGCAGCATTTACTGCGGTTTTGCTTGTACCATTCAATGTTGTCTACTCGGTTGAATCCCTCGCTTGCTCCATCCGCTCCCTCTAAGGGCGACGCAAACTTCATTTTCGACATCAAGAATCTGCAAAAGAGGTAACAAGAATTGTTTGTTGTAGACCAGTTTCTGTAGAGGAAATTTGTTTCGGCGATGGAAAAGTGAAACACTTAGGCAAATCAAACGAGAAGGTAGATTAAGCGCGATAGCGTGTTTTCAGGAGGCTAACATTTCGAGCGACAGCCCTTGAAGAGAGCAAAGTCTAAGCCGGCTTACAAACTTCAGTAACACGTATTGTGCTAAGATAGAGCCAAGGAGCCTTTTTTTTTCCCAATAACTGCAGTGTTGTGTATTATAAATTTTTAAAGCTGAACATTTCAGTTGGTTTCACAAAAGATTTTCATATCAAATTTTTCCCCTTAAAATAACAAGCAGCAAGTCATTGTTGGCGCTGTAAAAGGTTTGACGAAATGGCATTCGTTCCTAAATCATTGGTTTTGACTCTGCAAAAACGAACGGCCGGTTTTTATTTCCCGTTACTTGGATAAGGTATCCTACTGCTCAGGCCATGGAGATCAAACTTGAGAAATTTGTGACTAAAATCTAAACATACTTGCTCTTGTTTTTGTTTGAAACTGCATCTATTTGTAAACTGATCTTGCTGGGCTCTTTTTTTTTCTAAGGGCATACAGGAAATAATCTTCATTAAACATGTTATCTGGCATACTCTTTGATCACAAAACTATAGAAGTGCAATTTTTCGGTAATTTATTCCCCATTCCCACATGACTCTCACAATCGCGAAAAAGAACTATGACTGCATGGATCAAAAGCTCTTTGGTCACTTGGCCCTAAAGATATTGATCATCTTTTGTGTCTTATCGAGAAACTAATAGTATTAAACTTATCCTATATACAGATAGTTTGCAGTTTAACACATCCAGCAGAATTAATAGAAGACCGAATCGAATAAAGGTTCATATATTTCACCTGAGAGCAAATATTTTCTTAGTTTGTCCTGTTAATAAATAAGGACTTTGACAATAATCGGTTAAATGAGCAAGGTCTTGGCGTCCCTTTATTATACATGTTAAACAGACACAAGAAGCCGAGGTAAAATCATTAAAATGGCAAAGTATTTTAATGAAGCACATTCAAGAGCCACTCTAAGCAAATTCTTCGAGATCGTACGCTTTTCGACGGCGTTTTGAAAGTTTACTGGATAATTGTTCTAGGAGGACTTTTTAGGTAGTCATCCTGGTTGAAGATGTCGATGAGATCATGATCTTTCATTTCTTCACCAAAATAACAACGATCTAGAAACTTCAAGGCATTTTTTTTGGGTCTTTCTGTTGGTCGACAAAGTTAGAGGTAGTCGCAACTTGACGGTTATAGGTAAACGGCGAGAGCTGAATTTCTACAACCTCCTTTTCATACGTTCGTGCAGAGGTGGAAAATATTTCCTTTTCATCCGAATTGGAGATATCCTTTTCGTTTTTATTATCTGATGGATCTTTAAAACTCCTTGTGAAATCGAAAGATAAGCGAGATACATTTAGTCAGAGGCGATTATTAAAAATTAGCTTCTGAAACTATACAAGAAGACTTTGAGTTTTATGCTCATGCAATGAATCGATCAAAGAGCGGCTAACATGACCTCCCCTTCTAGTCAACATTGGTTACGATAAAAATTTCTCTGTAGTCATGAAAGAGTCAAATACCTCCATGAGTGTGGACGTTCCTTCAGTGAAAAAGAGATGGGCGTTTCTGTCTCTCTGATCTCGATTTCCAAAGATTTCGCATCAGAAAGCATATGACTTCTTTATCGCATAATGGGCTTGTTTTATCAGTTTTTGGCTTCTTCAATCTTTAATTTGTAACCAGATTGACCTTTAATTAATGGATAACCATACTTGTTACACGAGAGTGCTTCCTAATTGGCTTTCAACGTAATTAAACCTTTCTCAGACATCTCTGTTGGATTTGTAGAACGAGGAATTTCTATACTTCAACTCATTTAATTGATTTTTTTATGAATTTCCCTCTTATTTTCTGGAAATTCTTGAAAAGATAAGATTCATCAGTTTTAACGATAACTGTAAACTGTAAAAGGTCACAAAATACGTTTTTATTTCAGCCGAGTGGCTGTTGATTCGTAACTCTCATCTTTGTCTCAAAGTATAGCGTTTTAGTCATTTCGATCACTCAACGTTAGTCAATTCAGCAACACGATTGTTCATTTAGCCCTCTAATTTTTCAAGTCATTGATCTTTTCATCAATAAATTTGCTTATCTACCTCTGCCATCTTTTTTCAGCCAGGATTTAGTCTGCACGTAATTTTTCGTTTTATTTTGGAGGGTCACTTAATTATCTTGTGCTCAATTTTGCCTAAGGCCAATCTGTTCTTCGATTGTCAAAATATACAAAAAATGTGAACAGGCAGGCATACTATCTATAGATACCATAGTTAAGAAGACAGAAAATGCAAATGCCTTAAGAGCAACTTCATGATCTGTCAGGATCATCTATAGTATGTTATACTTGCAGACAAGTAAACAATTATGATCAACGTCGCGTTAATTTTCGGCAATTAAACCCGGAAAAGGTTAGCATAAAACATCTGCGGATTAATTAGATCGAGATCTTAGTGTCACCATAGATTAACGAATAAAATACACCAAAGGTTCAGAATAGCAAAGAGTACGGAGAGTGATAGTAATGTTACTTCCACTATTTTTTTATAATAATGGTAATAAAGAGTTTACAGTTGTGATAGTAAAGATAACACTGACATTGACAATAGCGATACTTGAGTAATAACAATTGATAATAATTAACATTGATCTCCTGCAAAAAATTAATATTGGTTTATTGTCGCACAAAAATGAAGAAGAACTAAATTTATTGGAAGTATTAGTCATGACAGTTACCCTGCATTGACACATTACACCCATACTTAAAAAAAATACACTCGAGTAAACGTTTAGGGTAAATTTAATTAAAACTATTTTGGTTTTCTTGAGCTGCAACGTATTGACAT